CCTATATCATGCAAAAGACCGTTTTCAAAAAGCTTGGCACGCCCTGAAAGACCTTCCTTGGTGAGAGCAAATCTGCTTGCTCCCTGCTCCAAATCTCTTCTTTGTGGGACGATTTTCTCAGAGAATTCATGAAGCAAGAATGAGCAGCGGTACTGATTCTAAGTCAAAGACATGAAGGTGTGGGGCGACTCCTAATTCAAGTCCGCATTTTTGGTGTTTCTTCAAATAAGTTAGAAATTTCCATGTTTTCGAATGGAGCAAAAGCATAGACTTCACTGCAGTCGATCCCACGACCTCTTTCCTTGTCAGGCTCACTAGCGCTGCGTTTTTCTGCTTCACAAGTTCTTCAACACATTCACGACGGCGCACCTTCTCCACTTTTCGATCGCGTGGGACGGGCGCGATTTTGTTGGCGCCGCCGCCTAACTTCACATCTGCGCGACTTTTGCACTGTAAATGAACAAAAACATGAATGTCACAAAATAATTTCAGCAATGTTCCAATGCGTCAAGCTTATCTAAACATATAATAGTAGGATTTCGATCAAAACGACGAAAAGTGGTAACGAAAAGAGAGCAATTTATCCAGAGTTATCCGTAAAGGAATTTCAGAGCATTTTAAGCTCCGACATTATCAAGTGATTTTTAACCACCTATCTTTCCATTCATAGCGCCTGGCAGGCAATTATTTAGCTGGCGACCCATGTGGGCTGCCATCGTCCCACAGGCACAATTCTTTGGCAGGCCATATGGGCTGCCGCCGGTGTGAATGTGCTAAGGAAATCGAAATACGCCAGACAAGGAAGTGTTACATTCGAACTCAGCTTCCCGAGACACATTGGGGAGAAATCACATTTCAAATGGCTGGACTGACCAATTGAAATGTCCTGTCATGGACATGTTGTGCTCGCTTGCTTTGCTTCGCCCATAGCATTGGGTGCTAACTTAGTTGGGGGGGGGGGCACGCGGCGGCGCGGCAGTCTGCTCACCTGGGCTCTCTCGAGCGAGACAGTGTAAACTCGAACATTCCAGCTTTTCACGCATGTCAAGTGACTGCCCCCACCCCCCACCCCCTAGACTGCCTACACTCCCCCTGGCCCACGGATTTCCGAACATGCCAGGCGAGCAGACTGCCGCGCCGCCGCGTGGCCCCCCCCAACTAAGTTAGCACCAAAGTCTGCTAGCCTCTATTATGTTAAGCCACTTGCGACATTGAAACAACATTAATATTATTGATACAACTGCTTGTAGTTTTAACCTTCACGCTAGCCATCTCAAGGAGGAATGCAATGCTTAAATTGTTGAAAAAATAGGCTAATGGGGCTAAAAAAAGGCTCATTCTTCTCGATATACAACCCCAAGAGCAGCCAGGAATGCCGGTACTTCGTGAACGGCGACTTTTATTGACGTCGACTCCAACAACTATATATTTGCTTGCATTTTCCAAAGAATGGGTGTAAACAAGCGGTTGCTCACTTCTTCAAAAGCCTATACACATAAACTCCAAACATCGGTTGTTTCTGATTTATCAGCTCGTTAAAAAAAAAATGAAGAAACATCTGCTCCGTAAGAGCCAACACTACGGTTTGCTATGAATCCAAAAAGGTCCAAAATTACCATGAGAAACTCTTTCCAAAAATTTAGCGTCTACAACTGATGCCATTTAGTCATTGGAGGAAATTCAGAGGTAGCATGTGATTCCCACCACACTATCATCTACAATCTTTAAAGAATGAAATATGTATGAAAACCAAACGCGTAATAGACAACATATTTAGAATGGCTAGAAAAGGTGCGAGCGCTTCACTGAACGCCAGCTATGGGAACGTACTAGAAAAGCTTTTGTTCACTTTGTGATCCACAAAACCGATACAAGATTTCAATAGACTTAGGCACAGGACACATGCAAAACCATTCCTTCCGATATGCACAGCCCGGGCACTTGGATATTTAACAGAGGATGTATGGACCTCCATCCTCTGTTTGAACTAAGCCTCTGATTGGAGCCGCCTAGGAAGACATGGAAAAGTGGGAACGTCCCGTTTCCCTACAATCTAGGGGGTGTTGTTCACTAGGACAGAAAGCGACTTTTTCGCGTCTCGCAGAGCGAAACATTGTTCGTTGCGGGAATCTCGGGTCCACCGATGATTCGCTGCGGGAACCAGATGATCAGCGGTGGACCTGAGGTTCCCGGGTTTACGGACTACTTGCACTTTCGTCCATGGTCCTGCCACGAATGGCGGAGAGCACAGACGATCAGAGAATGGCGCCTGGCTCGGCTCCAAATCCCAAGGAGGGAGGTGAGAGCCTTAGGACTAAGCCTTGTAAGGGGGAGGGAATCCGAGGTGGGTGAGCCAGTTGCATTGTGGCAAAAGTTTGAATGTGTGAGATCGCAGTGGTGATCAGCCGCTGATAAGATGAGAGAGCGCAGACGAAAGCGTCGAGTGGCCGAGTTCAAGTAGTCCGTCGACCGAGGTTCCCGCAGAGGGAAATGTTTCGCGCTACGAAATACGAAAAAATCGCTTTCTGTCCAAATTAACCACCCCCCTCCCATTTAGGTTGGACAAGCCTGACGATTAGA